AATTCGGCTTACCTAGACGAGTCAAAAACCTTCAAAATTTACTGGAAAATTAACAATGAGAAAAAAAGCATTCAGTTTGCCGCTCGAGTTAAGACTCTCGGTTGGGTCGGCTTTGGTATTTCGTCAGGCAATGGTAACATGATTGGATCTGATGTGATTATTGGCTGGGTGAAGGAAAACACAGGATATCTCAAGGTAATTTCGATCTTCTTTGTAATACATACAATATGAGCGGCCGATCAGTAGGCAAGCTGTTAAAAATCCAATACTGATGGGAAGCGAATAAAGTGCATACCAAATTGATCCGCAAAACACTTTGTAAGAAATTGCACAAATTGTAAAAATTGATTAAGCTCAGTACTGACTTCAACCACCGTAGACCTCAACTACCGTAGGTCTCAACCACCGTATACAAAACTTTGAACTATTATTTGTACATTTCTTAGTTAATTTTTCATGGATATATGGTATGCGCTCTGTTGTAAATTGTTGATCAAATGTCATGTATTCTATAATTGACTCTTTTTTTTTAACTCTTGTAATGAATTTCGATCTTTGATTATGTAATAATGTATAACAGCCAATCTGTATTGGCATTTACAAAACGTTGAGCCGTTAAACAGCTTCCTGCTCGGGCGTGAGTTGATAATTGTATTTTAAAAGAGTAACATTTCATGATCGCTACAATCTTTTGAGATTGGAGAGATAGTTTGATAGTTTGATGAAAATCCAACTAAAGTTAAATGCAAATGAAGACGATTCTGTATCCAAATTATTATCAATGTTATTGTCTTGGTTGACTAATTTCTATTGTTTTTATTTTTTCATGAGTCATGATCAAATAACTCATAGCTAAAAACATAATACCAAAACTTCACGATGAGTTTTCGGCCACTAAGGTCAAACACTGCAGCTTAAAAACCAGGAGCAGAAAAGTTAGTTAAAGGAGTTCTTATATGTATAAATAAAAGTCAGAATTTTACCCAAAATTTATTACATGTTGTTATCAAGATCAATAAACGTCAATCCAATATAAAATGCAAATCATTAATGTTTGTATAGAATCGCATGAGGTTATCCTGCTATCTGGCTTCTTACACTATGTAGACCATTAGATAATTGAGGAGGGGGGAGAGGAGGGGGGTTGCAGGAATTTATAACATTTCAAACTTCAAACGTGCGAAAGAGGACATCAGTTTTGTTAGACGGACAACAGTCGTTTTTCGTGTCGTAACTGATGACGTTAATTAGTAATGGGAGCATTCCTACGTCGGAAGTTGTAGATGTCATTCGCATCTAGAATTTCGGATCAATAAGTTTTTGGACTTTTATCTGACTCCTTTTATCTAGTCTAGTCATTCTAAATTAATTTTTCATTTAGAAACTAGACATGTCAGTAATATTTTCTGTTTGTTTGCTTTGTAAAAATAACAAAAGCTCGATTTGTTTGAGATGACACTGTATGATTGTGAACAATTAATCGTTTCCTGTATGCCTCCAAGATACCATGTGTCCGACCTTTGCGAAAGATAAAGCTTTTCGTAGATTATCTATTTGGCTTCTTTCCATGTAACACAGGATCGTTATGCTGACGCCAAGGCCCTTCCACCAATAGATGCAAAACAGGACTACACTCTGGTAGCAGCAAGAGAGGACAACGGGGAAACCATTATTGAATTCTCTCGTCTGTGGAACACTTGTGACGAGAAAGACAACAAGATAGAGGTGAGTTTCAGACTTAGAATCTTCACCTTCAGTAAGCACACATGTATCTCGATAAATTTTTTTACAATAAAAGAGCGTATAGACCCCTTGCACTAATGTGACGTCTTAACAGCAATAAGAAAAGCTTCAATCAAGCTAGAAAAATGACATTTTACTTGTATTTAGAGAGCTAACTAAAGAAATCTACTTAAATTTTCTCTTTAAAGTCAGTGAATTTGTATGGAAATCCGAGAACAATGTCCGAACTTCTTGGTGACCGTAACACAATCCAACACGATTTTTATACCACGATTTTTATACCAAAATGTCAACAAAAAAAACCTTGAAGTGTTCATGATTCGATTGTCCGCATTGTAAGACGTCATCTGTGATTAATAACAGGATTTGTTAAATACATACATCCATCGAACCATCTTAGTAACCTTTGAAAAAAGCAATCATACTTTTTTACAGAAAAGTTGCGCGGGTCATTTTCCGGCTCTTTTAAGTAACTTTAAGCAACACAAACGAACGAAATTACGAACGAACCAAACGAACTAACCAGCAAACGTTAAAAAAACATGCACATCAAATGACATGCACATCAGTGATCAAGGGTGATTTGTTACATAGCTACGAAATTTTGCGATACAACGAACACTGTCATTGGTTGAAAGATGACCACATTTAAATCTAAATGTATCCCGAAAGTTACTTATTTCCAGCTCGGGAAATAAGTTCCACGTGACAATAATCGTGAAAAAACTGTGCACGTGATCAGAACGTGAAAATCGCTGCTGGCGTGATATTTTGCATCAATCAAGAACAACAGAGCGGGAGCAGATATTTTGCTTGAATTTTCAGTAAAAATGGAGCTCGAAGCGAAACAATATAGAGGTTTTCCAGTGTTTCTTCAGGAAAATTACAGACTTTAATTGAGAAAAAGGATTCGTATTCGGCTTCGCCTCGTGAAACATCGAGACTCTCGGGAAAACAAACCTAGCTATTTCCCTCGCGACCAGACATTAAGTGTATAATGTATTTGATATATATATTCCAGCAATAATCACTTCGCCTTCGGCAAATTATTGTTAAATTTATTTTGAACTTAGGTTGTTTTGGTCGTTGTGGTCGCTTACTAATGTGTCTTTTTTTACAGGAAGGAACGGTTCGAGTTGTCTATGCTTATCACACGAACGATCCAACTTCAGAAGAAAACATTCCACAACATAGTGTTCGGGGCGCCGCTTCACTGGTCTTGCTAAATGTATTTACAAGTAAACCAAGTATTCCACAAAACACTCCACACTTTGACCTTCGTCAGAATGACGTAAGTATCTCTCTTAAAAACTAGATCCTTTAATTACAATGCTTCAAGTAAAAATTACATTAACAAATGACCAACTACGGGATCATTGCAATTTTCATATTTTTTGAAATTTCAAGCACAGGTCGAACCCAAAAGAAATATGTTTGGTTTCTACAAATACTCCTTTACTCCTTATTAATAAAAGATTATTGTTATTTACCAAGTTGTACAAATAAAAAAAACTTCATAATCAATATTGACAATCTATGAAAACTATATAAGCTGCGTACTGAAGAAATTAATTACTGTAATGCACATTGATAATTAATTAATTAATCAACTATTAATTAATTAATCAACTATTAATTAATTAATCAACTATTAATTAATTAATCAACTATTAATTAATTAATCAATTAATTAATAATTAAT